GCTGAAAATTGTTGTTAGGAGAGGCTAAACTGCTGGGATTGATAATATGAGAATGGGTATTTAAATATTGCCTTTAACTAGATCTATTGCAGAAACATGGAACAATTGGCACATTAATGTGGCTCGTGCTAATTATTCAGATTGGTGGAATACACATTTAAATCTATTGCAGAAGAAGAAATTCAGCGCTAAAAAACTGGAAACTGTATGCCAGTACGTTTTTAAGTATGAAAACATCTTGTAAAAATTATGCTCACACAATTAACAATGATCTGCCAATAAAACCGATTGAGGAAGTAATTGGAGACACTATAAACCGAATATCAGTGGGCCACAATTTACCAATTCACAGCTCACAAACAGCTCAAAACACAATCTCTTGGTTACGAAATTACTACTGGAGGGGGGCAATATCAGTCATACCCAAAATTAAATTGTACGTTGGAATTATTAAGTCACAAATTGGTGTGCCGGCAACAGGTAATGCTGTGTTTGACAATATGCCACACTGTTTACGACAACGAACGCAAAATAAAACTGCTTGTGCATAAACCCACGCAAAAAAACGATAAGAATGTAGACATTTTAGTAAATGAAGGGCGTAATCCAATTGCAATGAGACAATGTGATTTAATTTGGAAGCGAAGGATGTAACCTTTTGTGGGAGAAATCGGATTGAGGTGTAGGTTCCGTAGTAAATAACAGAATGACATCATTCAGTAGACCCACACAGGGGTATTTGGTCGTTCAAGTGTGTCAAGTTTTTGTTATGAGTCATTTGATGCCGCAAGCAAAGCTACAAGCCAGCCCAAATAAACAGATCGAATTGTAGGGAGGACTCTACCAACTGAGCTGGCTGGGCTGAATCACTCATACAGAGCAAGGCAGAGCACTCTGTGTTCTAGAGAGGGCTCTACCAACTGAGCTACTGAGGCAGCTCAGTTGGCTGGGCCAAATCACTCATATACAGCAAGGCAGAGCACTCTGTTTTCTAGAGAGGGCTCTACCAACTGAGCTACTGAGGCAGCTCAGCTGGCTGGGCTGAATCACTCATACAGAGCAAGACAGAGCACTCTGTTTTCTAGAGAGGGCTCTACCAACTGAGCTACTGAGGCAGCTCAGCTGGCTGGGCCAATCACTCATACAGAGAAAGGAAGAGCACTCTGTTTTCTAGAGAGGGCTCTACCAACTGAGCTACTGAGGCAGCTCAGCTGGCTGGGCTGAATCACTCATACAGAGCAAGACAGAGCACTCTGTTTTCTAGAGAGGGCTCTACCAACTGAGCTACTGAGGCAGCTCAGCTGGCTGGGCCAAATCACTCATACAGAGCAAGACAGAGCACTCTGTTTTCTAGAGAGGGCTCTACCAACTGAGCTACTGAGGCAGCTCAGCTGGATGACTAATACAGAGAGATAAGAAGCAGAACACCTTGCATTCAGAAAGCTGCACTAATAATCGCAAGTTTCTATGAACTGACGTGCAGATCAAAACTTGAAAAGTGAGCAAACAGTATTCTTTTCTCAAACAGGTCTTTTTTTTCATGCAACAATTACAAAAAGAAGATAAGTTAGCCGATAGGCGGAGTACTCTGCATGCAAATCTGTTATTTTTCAGAGTCTGGTTAAGAAAAATGCAAGTTATTTATTCAAAGTCGAGATCAAGCTATGCAACAGTTTGCAATTGGGACTCAGACGAACACACATAATCTATGTATGTAAATATGTAGCAGATAAAGACCACAACATACTGAGTAGGTGAGTGTCCTCGTACGAGCAGTAAATCGGGTCGTAAATGTCTGCAAACTGGTTACACCACTCCATAACTGGGGTTTGAAGCAAGCCCAAAACAAGTGTGACAAACCGAGCCTCAGAGTCTGTATCTTTTGCAAGCAACTAGCTGCTGACACACTGGCCTCACACAATTAGGACTACTGCACACAAATGGTGGCTTCGATTTTTATATACAGCTAAACATGTCATGAATATTCAAAAACGGTTCTACCGGACATTATCTGGAGGAATGTTGATCTTCCTGGCCACATTATGTGTGACGTAGTCTTCTGCAATTGCAGAAGCAGAAAGAAAGGCGGCGCCATTGCGAAAGCGAGGATCATGAATTATTCATGAGCTGTGGTGAGCCACAGAGTAGTAAGTGTGGTTAATAATGCAGCCACTGCCACAAGCGTGCCTGGATAGGAGTCACCCCTATTGTGCTAGAGCAAGGAGTGCCACTTATGTGGCTTGGTAGGTGCAGACAACATTTCGTGGTTTGGAGGTGGGTATTGGGTTTGGAGGGTATTTCGAGATGTGCCCTCTTCAGTATGTGTGGTGTGGTGTGATCGACGAAATGCATGTGTGAATCCATGCTCTGTAGAAGAGCTTTGCCATGAAACATCTGCAAGATAGGAGCCCCTGAAATCGCATGCACTAATAGCAGCCCCACACTCTATGGGAAGGGATAGAGGGAGGCACATACCACGAGGAACCCGTCCCTAAACAGAAGCCAGCGGTGGGAAATTGATTCCCATCATAGCGTGGAATACACATCCCTATACAGACACCTGGTGTAAGAGGATATATTTACTTTGGTCTGGAATGTGCAGTGAGATGGGGGGCAACATGTATGACTACTTTTAGAGCCAGAGGGCCTGATGTAACACCTCGAAAACCCTCAATAGAATTTTCTTAGAAACCGTTCCCTACTTGTTCTTAAGTGTGCATAAACAGTGTCTGCATAAAGGTGTGAGCACAACAGGCATTAGTACGGAAGTCCAGAGCTACCACAGCATGTATTTTCACGTAGTGACTGAAAGACAAATGAACATTGCTGAGTTCAGTCATCCACGGAATAACCAAAACTTTTCTCCACTGTAATAATGGTAAAACCTTCAATGTATCTAAATACTAGAACAAATGCCATTTCAATTATTGAAGCATATTCAGAACGACATTTAATATTTCGCGTGTACTTGGAATCACGTACAACATTACGGTTATGTGCAGTGCAAGTAAAATACTTTCCTTACTTAGAAAGATGTACAGTGCAAGTATAATATGTCCCCCCACCTAGGAATGAAGTGGAACCCTGAGCAATAGCCTCCCTATGCGCAACACCAATACATTATGTACGAATAGTAAGTATACATAATAGAGAAGCAAATGAAATGGCTTGTAACTTGAGAGCATGATCCGATTAGATTAAACTACTGCCATAACATAACAAAAGCACAATAAATACGGCCCTAGTGTATGCATACATGGACCCTTGGCTTAAGGATCTGAAGTGTTCTTACGTTTGGTTGTCTAACTATGTTTTGTCCTGCTCTGTTAACCAGAGTGCCAACCATAGTCCAAGAGTACGTAAACAAACAGAGCAGGGAGTGGGGGAGGGGGGAAATGGATATGCTGTATGTGTACGCATTGAAAAGTCGGTCGGCGCTGTTTGTATATATCGCGAGTCGCTGTGTTTGTTTTGCTGTGTGTGTGTGTTGGAGGGTTGTCCGAGCAGCTGTGAACGGCAAGAGGGAGAGGGATAACTTAGATTCCTCAAATGACCAGTGTTGCTAGGACCGGCCAGGTCCTATCGTCTTACTCACTTCCTCATTCACTTGCACACCATACCCATCTCTCCTTCATTTCTCATTCTCTCCTTCTTTTCGCTTGCTAACAGTATGGCCATCCTTCTCTTGAAGACTATTTGCACTGCATACTCCAGCTATACTCAAAGTTTAGTTGATCTATCTTTTGCTCCACTTGCTTACGAAAAGCGAAAGGTTTAGACCACCTAAGCACTGATCACTGAAGCGATGATTTGTTGTTAAACTTTCTCCTCTCCACTTGCGTACTAAAAGTTTTTATAAGCCATCGATTTCATTTGCACTGCACACTCCAGCTCTAGTTGAAGTATTCAGTATGGTTGGTTGGGCTGACCTTTAAACTCCCTTGCTTGCTAAAAGTACGAAAGTTAAGGCTTTGCACTGCACACTCCAGCTACATAATCAAGGAATTTATGGTGATTTAACTTATTAAGTTAATTATGACATCTGATTCTATTTCCACTGCACAGTTCAGTGATATTCAAAGTGTGTAGGGCAGTTGATCAGTCAGTCCTTTCCCCCACTTGCTCACTAAAAGTACATAAAATTTAGGCCACCCTTCTCTTGAAGAACATGCACTGGATATTCCGGTATAGTCAAGATGTTTTCTTTAAAATTGAGTTCTCCCCACTTTCAGGTACTCTACTATTGAAGCACTGCATACTCCAGGTATAGTCAACAAATGTAGTATGGTTTTCAAAACCTTTCTTTTCCCTCATTCCTTACTAAAAGTACGAACAGTTTAGGCCACCCTAGGCACACGCACACACATGCAGGCATATATACATGTATTATACATGTGTACTAGTTGTAACGTTACTACTTGTGACCCGGGGACTTACGAAGTTTTAGTGCTCTTGCGTCATACATGCTCTCACGCTCATAATCCCTCGTAACACGCTCCTATTAGCGCTCAAAGAAACATGTAGAGTCCATTAGTGCCGAAAAGCACCGAGTGCGTGTGACCGTCCACGTCTATACATGTACTTGCGTAACTCTGGCAAATTCGATTTTAGTAAACGGGCGCTGACAGTGGGTAGCGTGCACTTGTTACACTGCTATTTTGGCTCCAAATCTATTTATATTTCATTTGCTAAGCTTGTGGCGGCACCTCTAGGTATAATAGGCTATGTAGACTCAGAGAAATATAAACCTTCGAAGAATGCAAAACAGTGCAAAAGGAGTCGCGTAGTACCGTTCGAAAAAGGCATTTACCCATTCCCCTCGGCTCAACTCCATAATTAGTTACATATTCACATTACATACGCTAGACTATACCAAAAGGGGGTATGAGTTGGCAGTAATGCTTCCAGATCGCACAATTTTTTCCCTGTGAATATGGCGTATTTTACCTTCACAGTACGTATAGCTGTATCGTTCATGCTGGGAATATGGCGTACTTTACCTTTACAGTAGCTGTATCTGTCATGTAGTGTTCCGTTTGAATCACTCCTTGATATTTTCTGAAAACGAGAGGCGGATGAAGAAATAGGAGAGAAATAGGAGGTAGGGGAGGAAGAGAGAGGAAAGAGGAGGCAATAAAAGGAGAAGAGAGGAGAGAGAGAGAGACACATGTATAGCGGGGTTAGTGGGGCAGGGAAGAAGAGGAGACTAAATTTAGCTCCCTGGAGGTAAATTGGTTTCAATTGTCTGGGAATGCAAGGAATTTTGGCACGAGAACTGCAAAAATGCACCAATTAGGACAAAAATTATGCAAGCTAATTATCCTATTAGGCCACAAAGGTAAACACAAACATGTCATGGGAACTCCTCCAAGAAGAGACTTCTCTTCCTAACCTGCCATCTCTTTTTACCGTCCCTAGAATTTTCCCAATTCTGATTCTACTTCCTCTCCCCCTCCCTCCCTCCCTCCCTCTTCTCCTCTCGTTTCTTTCTTCGTTCGTACACAGCTACAACTATAACCGCCGAGCGCAGTCTACATACAGACGCAGCAAATCGTACACCAACACCCTCTCTACATGTCCATTACGGCCACTCAGTGTTGATGCAATACTCGCACGTACATTACGTAAAGCTTTCAACTCCACTCAATATCTACACACATACATACGATACACGCCAAAATTTTGCTGCTTTGCAAACAACACTCTGATCTACATACACCGCGTAGAGCTTTTAACGCCATTTGATATTGGCACATATGCAAAACATACACCGTCACATACGCTAACACAACTGCTGATACGCGAGCATCGGCCGCTTTGAGTTGTCCCAGTACACAAAGTTCGCGGCCTTTTGATGCGCCCCGTTCCATCTGCCATATTCTAGTAGATTTGATAGCATGTCTACTGGCGAGGAGTAGAAGATGGGAGTACGGAATGCAGCATGTGACAAAGTTTTTACAGTCACTTGTACATAGGAGTGTTTTGTGTATTTGCGGATGTTTGCATAACTCAGCAAAAAAGCACATGGAAATTTTCTACCAATCCAGTCGTACTACTTTTTCATCCACAAATGTCAGCAATGCTATGTATACGTGTGCACACATTAGCCGAAGCAATTTGCTTCGTGTGAAAGCACAGTCCACAATTGCTGCATTACACAGTGGAGCTACTGTGACAAAAATTGCTGACGTGAAAAGTAGGAAACACAAGTGTACTACATCGGTAATTGCATTGGTATAATTATGATTTCTCTATATCCCAGAATTTTCATTCCACGGTGCTATATAAGGTGTGTGTAAAACAACGATATTCAAGGTACAGACACATAATAAATGTTCCGTGGCATAACATACACATAGTGCGTGCTGCAAGCATCTCAAATATTGCAAATATTCTGGGCTTCTAACCCGTGCAACCAAGGCTAGGGGCTAACTCAATGATTAAATGAGACCATTTTAGTCAGAATGATGGGCAAACACGTGTATATTATACCTACCTCTAAATTCAGGTCTTTTGCACCTTAAGACCTTGAATGGATATGTTTAGAAATTGAGTGTAACCCTGTTAATCACGGTGATGGTGGCAGCAAAACCATTGAAGGACTCTGAAAAAGGGACACGTCTATACTTGGTTTTGCCCCATGCTAATACATTGTATTGGAATGTCTTTGAATAAAGGACATATTCTGCATTTCCCTAAGTTGCACTAGTAGCTATTGTATTGCAAAAGGGGGAGCTAGGGACTTAGAGCTATGAAATTCAGATACCAGTTTTGCCTCTGGGGAGAAAATGGTGCCACAACTACCAAGACAAGCTAGGTAGGCCTTATACCCACATAGACAACCGTAGCTGCCTCCAACTGCCAAAAAGATACGAGCCACAAGCAACCAACCACAATGAACCACCACCAACCTCTACCAATAGACTAAGTTGTTCCCCTGGTATTGTGCATAATAAGGTTGGTCAGTTTCTTGTGGGGTGCATATGTACATCCTCATACACGTGACGGCAGTGTATGGCAGTGTATAAAGTACATCCTCATACATGTGACGGCAGTGTATAAAGTACATCCTCATACATGTGACGGCAGTGTATAAAGTACATCCTCATACATGTGACGGCAGTGTATAAAGTACACCCTCATACATGTGACGGCAGTGTATAAAGTACACCCTCATACATGTGACGGCAGTGTATGGCAGTGTATAAAGTACATCCTCATACATGTGACGGCAGTGTATAAAGTGTACATCGTCATACATGTGACCGCAGTGTATAAAGTGTACATCCTCACACATGTGACGGCAGTGTATGGCAGTGTATAAAGTGTATATACATCCTCACACATGTGACGGCAGTGTATGGCAGTGTATAAAGTACATCCTCATACATGTGACGGCAGTGTATGGCAGTGTATAAAGTACATCCTCATACATGTGACGGCAGTGTATAAAGTGGGGCACCTCTAATCCAGACACTTCACACTGCATGATGGCACTATAAAGTGGAACACCTCTAATCCAGACACCAATAGGACAGAAGAAAGTGTCCACATCAGTGAGGTGTTCTTATTTCAGGGGTTGGATTGCACCCAAGAAGGGAGCAGTGGGGTGGGGTATGGCCACCATGGCAACACACTCTCTAACACTATGGTAACCTGGTGGTTATACTCCAGCTGCGGCCTGGAATAAAACAAGGGCACCTCACTAACTGTCTCATTGGTGTCCGGAATAGAGTAGTTCCACAGGCAATGCACACGAATGCAGTGGTGGATCTAGGAATGTTAAGGGGGGGTTCCGCTGTCCAGAACGTTTTCGACTGCGCTCGTGCGCACGCACGAGGCCGGCGACGCATGCGCACAAAATGACACAAAGGGGAGGTTCCGTGGAACCCAAGGAACCCCTCACACAACGTTAACAAGACAATAACAACAATAACTCTGGATCTGCCACTGGGAATGGGCATTCAGGCATGCGTAGTGTATGAGTACACACATACACACGGTACATCTCTCTTTCAGGTATGTAGTTTAAGAGCCAAACACGCTAATCAGGATACCAGACTTAAGCAGCTTACATAATTTGAATTCCATCGCTACTAATCGACCTGGCCACTGCCTTATGAGGGGCTGTAAAATCTCGCATTACTCCTCGACTTAGCAAACACGGCGGTGAATCCGCTTATCACATTCATTGGTGAAAATCACCACCATTGTCACACTCGATGTTGTAGGAATGAGAACCCAGGGAGGAATTTGTTACTAGCTTTACCAGCTGATGGTACACACAACATAAGGTCGGGAATTGTACAACTGAATTTCGACAACGGCAGAGTTAAAGTGTGTCAAGTTGACAGCTCTAAGGGGTCTGCCTTTGCACTGTAGCTGTTGAGGGGCTATGTATATAGGCTCAGTGGGTAGAGTGCTCTGCCTAGAGAGGATTCAAGCACCGCCTACATACATAAATAGGACAGCTCAGTGTTTTGTCATCGCTCGACAGTTGGCTAGCACTTGCCTTCTTTTCATACCTCACTTATGATTCACGCATTCCTGTCACCGAGTGAGAGTTAGTTGCACAAACAATTCTTTGTCCACCGAAAACAAGTGGCTTTCATCCTGCATGTAGTAATTCTTTTGCAAATGGGCAGTTACAAAATCCTGTTTACCGATGCCTACATGCCGAAGATCCTTATTCATGGGGCACTTATGGTCACACGAAAACCATATAATTCAGGGTTAAATTACATGCAAGAACTGTTCTAGGGGATGTCCTTATTAGTGAGGTGTCTTCATTTCAGGGATGTCTTTTATAATCAGATAAACTCCTGCCCAGATTGCACAAACTATGCACTTTCAGGATTACGTAAGACCTCTCCCAGGTAGAGTGCAACAACAACAAACATCATATGTACAATAGGTATATACTTATCCACATAATAGTGACTATAGGTAGCAACACAGCACTTCTTCACAAACAGGATACTATGCGAGTATATTGCTCGATACTAGCTCATTGCATGTATCAGCTTCTTCCCAAGGCATAGAAATTCAATTTATCATGCTCGCTACCTGGGCTGAACAGCAAGGCAGAGCTGTTTTCTAGAGAGGGCTCTCCCAACTGAGCTACTGAGGCAGCTCAGCTGGCTGGGTCAATCACTCATACAGAGAAAGGAAGAGCACTCTGTTTTCTAGAGAGGGCTCTACCAACTGAGCTACTGAGGCAGCTCAGCATGCTGGGCCAAATCACTCATACAGAGCAAGGAAGAGCACTCTGTTTTCTAGAGAGGGCTCTACCAACTGAGCTACTGAGGCAGCTCAGCATGCTGGGCCAAATCACTCATACAGAGCAAGGAAGAGCACTCTGTTTTCTAGAGAACTGAGCTACTGAGGCAGCTCAGCTGGCTGGGCTGAACCACTCACACAGAGCAAGGCAGGGCACTATGTGTCAAGGCAGAGCACTATGCGTCAAGGCAGAACACTATGCGTCAAGGCAGAGCACTATGTGTATAGAGAGGGCTACCAATTGAGCAGAATGGGCCAATTTCAGTTACATAACAATCTTATCAGCCACAAAACCCGCTAGCCTATGAATTTTACCACCAGCAGATTCAGTTTTAAACTGAAGAGTGAAAAAACAACACAAGAGGTGCTCTAATCTGTACTCAGGTGGCCTACCAAACAGCGAAACGTATGCAGGAACCGACCACAAAAAGAAAAACTGCAGCTGGAATGCGTTAGAAAACCTATCACGATATTTACATGAGAGGTTTGGGAGGATTTGTGGTGTGTTCTTGCGGAGGGGCCAGCGGTTGACATGAGGGTTTCAATTTCCCCATTCAAACAGGGCAGTTTTCCTAGTTCTCAACAAGTTGGGGAGGAAAAGGAGGGGGAGAGGGAGAGGGGAGGAGGACAATGGGACGTGGGCACATATTCCAGATTTCCTGCACACTATAGTATGTACAGGACCAGCTATAATTATAGAAAGCTGTTTCAAGGAAAAGAGTTTTAGCTCTATGTATATTCGCTGCTGTGGCGAGAGGTACAAGTGCCCACTGCATGCAAAACTGTCCACAAACCAGTTACCCTTCTCTAAGGACTGCACCACTAAAGGGCGCCGTTTCTTTCGCCAGGGATAGTTTATTGCCTAACCCCTGTAATACGGACACTTCACTAACAGTTGCACTTTGGTTCCTGAAAAAGAGGGGTTTCGCTGCACTACAGAAAGTACCAAACACACAATTTGCATTCTCAAGAGCTGG